TTGGTGTATTTGAACTATTTAAATGTATAATTTTTTTTTATTAATGTGGAGGAGATGGATTGTTTATAAATAGAGTTTGTGGAGTTAGAGATATTAATATTTGTTTACCTATATTTGAATATTAGCCTGGGACTTGGTTTGGGAAGTCCGGGGGGGTGGGATATAATATAATATTGTGTAATACTTGTGATGTTTTTTTGTTTTTTTTTGGAAAATAATAAAAATTTTATATTGAAAAAAACAATTAATGTGATTTTTGCTGTTGCATGCATGCTGATAATTTGTCTAACCTTGGCTTATACTTTGTAAGTTTGAGAGCAACACTGCAGGCAGCACTCAGGTCATCTTTTAAGTCTCTTTCTGGTGTCAGATTTGATATAATTCAAAGCTGAAAACAGTGTGCTTGCTCCAGAGGCTTCTTTTGGCTAGGAAGGGGCTTGAGAAATGGGTTTTTCCTTTATGACCTGTGGACTTCAACTCCCAGAACTCCTAATCAGGGACTCTTGTTTCCCTCCCAAAATAAATCCAATCGGACCACTTAATGTTTTGCACAAGGTCAAAGGGGAAGCGAGCACAAATCGTAGAAACTCGTTTGGCCTCGCCCTTTTTAAGGGTTAGGGGAATTTTGGAGCTTGAGGGCAGGGATGGACGCGTTCCTCCATCTTCTGCATCGCCCAGAAAAACTGCAGAGAGGAGTGACGAGAGCAGCCACAAATCACACCAAGTTATGTGACTTTATACAACCTCTCAGACTCACTTTAGATTGTGATCCTTTTAATCACAGGGATCTTCGAACTTGGCCCTTTTATGACTTGTGGACTTCAACTCCCAGAATTCCTCAGCCAGCCTCCATTTTGTTTGTTAGATTTAAGACAGGGGTCTTCAAACTTGGCCCTTTGATGACTTGTGGATTTCAACTGCCAGAATTCCTCAACCAGGCACGCTGGCTGAGGAATTCTTGGAGTTGAAGTCCACAAGTCATCAAAGGGCCAAGTTAGAAGACCCCTATTTTATCATATGCACTCTGCTTTTGAGGTATTATTACAGCTTCTCTGGTCCAGTTCCAACTCTTTTAAAACTGTTATAGAGACCCTACAGGAACAGCACGTTATTTTACAAGTTACCTACCCAGAATCTTTTCCAAATCAAAATCCACAGGTAGAGATAACACAGTCTGACAAGCAGCTGGAAACAAAAAAGAAAAGAAAAAGAATCAGAGCAACAATGCTGCATCACTAAGACCAAAGCATTTAAAAACCCTCTCTGCTTTTAGACTCTTCAGACTTCACAATAAAACACAAATCTTTCCAAGGTTGCAAGAAGGCTGGAACAAACTGGGACAAATTCAGCTTTTCAGACACTAAGCAGAGTGAGACTGTTAAGGACTTCAATGCGAGTTCTCTAGGAACTGCAAGGCTGTATGGACTCCTGCGAGTCCCCTGGACTGCAAGGCGATCAAACCGGTCAGTCCTAGAGGAGATCAACCCTGACTGCTCTTTAGAAGGCCAGATCCTGAAGCTGAAACTCAAGTATTTTGGCCACCTAATGAGAAGGAAGAACTCACTGGAGAAGAGCCTAATGCTGGGAAAGATTGAGGGAAATAGAAGAAGGGGACGACAGAGAATGAGGTGGCTGGATGGAGTCACTGAAGCAGGAGGCGTGAGCTTCAATGGACTCCAGAAGATGGTAGAGGACAGGAAGGCCTGGAGGAACATTGTCCATGGGGTCGCGATGGGTCGGACACGACTTCGCAACTAACAACAATGCTAGACAGGAAATAGCCTCCCACAAAAGCCAACTGTACGGGACTGCAAAGACTTCTTGCTCCTAGGCACAATGCCAGAAGGATGAAACAACACAAACTTCTCCGTTTTATCGAAAGGTAGTCCCTGAGGTATGGCCATAATGGAACCTGCCCACTGTGGTCATAAGTCATGATAGTTGTAAAACCGGGTCTGTCATTTTGTTTTTGCGAAACTGAAAATAACTGAGTAAAACCATCCTAAAACGGAGTCAATGCGACTGTGGGACACTGCAGATGGCCATATGACTGGGGGGGGGGGGGGGGGGGGGGGGG